CCTCCTTAGACCCCAGCTACTTTAAAGGGAGTTGGAAGCCGTCATCACCATTTTTCCACCACAGGCAACTGAGTGTGGTTATATTTTTGTCCTATGTTCAGCTATTTCCAGGAACTTTTTTCTGTGTGCACGTGGTGTTGTTTTACAGTCTCCTTGTGGAACCTAGAATGGCCTCACATCTCTTGTGCCTTGGTCTACCCAGTGCTGGGATTGCAGTCCTGTGCTTCACTTCCAAGAATCATGCTTAATGACCAAGCTGGCAGTTAAATTCAATGGGCCCTATGGGAACCGATGAAAAGAGTAATCTGCCCAAGTGGGCTTGTACTGGGAAATGCTAGAAGCTTGTTTCAGTGCCTTGCTTGCTTTGTGGCTTGGTTAGGTAGTGCTATGTGTCAAGTGTCAAAGGGTGAAGTCAGAGAGCCTTGGAAGACTTGCAAGGAGGGTGAATATTAAAAGCAACAACAGGCTTTCTCTGGAACACCTGTAAGTCACAGAGCTGTGTGTGCACCACAAGAAAAAGTAAACCATAGTTATTGGCAGTTCTTCATACTATGAAACAGTTGGGCTCTTTGTTCTGAGCTTTGTACCTTCCCTCCCTCACAAAGCTGAGTCCTGAAGGACAAAACCAGTTCCTCACTGGAGCATTGCCCGCCGCTGGACAGAGGGCACAGTTTCAGCTCAGGGCCAGCTTCAAGACTCTGTCCCTTTCTCACTAGTGTTCTTCTAGACCTAAACCCCGTGCTGGCCAGCTTAGCTCATTTGTCAGGTGCACAGCAGCCAGTGGGGGTCGGGAAGCTCCCAGATGGAGGATAACTCCTCTCTCTCCTCAGGTGTGTTCACATGTATTTCCCTTGGCTGCTTTTTATCTGTTCACTCTGTCAGGGTGCCAGCATTTAAAGACAGTGCACAGTGGATCTTTCACATGTCAGTGTACATTACTAGACAGGAGCACCAGTGTCCATTATGGTAAAGTAGTCTCGCCTGCACTCCCAGGAAGAGTCAGGGCCTGAAGATTAGCTGGCCTAGTGGGCACAAAGCCTTGGGTTTGATCCCCATCACTGCATAGACCACGCATGGTGGCTCATGCCTAGGATCCCAGTGCTGGGGAAGTAGAGGCAGGAGCTTGAGCTACACAGTGAGTTTGAGACCAGCCTGGGATGTCTCAGTTCCTATTGCTAAAGAAGTAAACATACTCTTCAGACACTAGCTGTCTTCCTAAGAATGCACTGAAGGTGTCTGGTCAGCCCCTGGTTGGCAGCAGGCACTGAGAATAAAGGTCTCGTTTATTGGTGGATTTTAAGGGATATTTTTAATGATGTTGGCTGGCTTCTCACATTATATGGTCTGTTTGCTAGTAGTTTTTGTTATCCATGTGGTTTTCTTTGAGTGATTTTCAGGTATAGTACCTTGTAAGAGGATTTAAGACCAGTGAAAATCATTGGGCATTCGAGTTGCACACCTTTAATCCCAGGGCAGGTGGATCTTTGAGTTTGAGGCCAGCCTGGTCTACAGAGCAAGTTCCAGAACAGCCAGGGCCACACAGAGAAACCCTACCTCAAAAAAAAAAAATAATTATAATAATCCAAATGTTGTTGTTGTTGTTATTATTATTATTACTATTATTATTATTACAGTAGTCTAGATTAGATCTCAAGCTTCGTACATGCTAGGCAAGTACTCTACCCCTGAGCTGAATCCTTAACCTTCTTTCTACTTTTGTATTTGGGTGTGCATGTCTCTATATCTGTGTTTTGTGCGTCTGTGTCTTTATGTCTCTGTATCTGTATGTGTGTGTATGTGTGTGTATGTATGTGTATTTTGTGTGTCTGTCTCTCTATGTGTGTGAAAGTCAGAAGACAGCTTGCAGGAATTGGTTCTCTCTTTCGACCACATGGAGCCTGGGGATCAAGTTCAGGGTGTCAGGCTTGGTGATTAAGTGTCTTTATGTGCTTGCTGGGCATTCTCACCAATCCCCTACTTTTGTATTTTAGATGCAGAGTCTCTTTATGTTGTCCACAGTGGGCAACTCATGGTCTTCTGCCTCAGCCTCTTCAGTGCCAGGACTCGGGTAGAAGCTCCTCTAAACCTGCCTGTTAGCACACTTAAATGGCTGAGCCACAGACTTCATTTTTAGGCATTTAACCCTTCAGATAGGATTACAGCTTGTGAGACTTTTGTGGTTAAGTAAAGTTAAAAACAAAAATTATCTCAAGTAGCTGTGGATAGCTTACTGCTTACTGCCAGTTTTCTATTTACAGTCATCAAACTCCTGACCACATAGAAACAGTCAAAACTAATTATCTGCAGACACCATCCTTGTGAAAATATCAGCTGTTTATTTTGCAGGTGTTGATGGTGCTAGGAATTGAACCTGTGGCCTCTCATGCAAGACTAGTGCTCAACCACTGAGTTGTATTACTAGCCCCTTTTCATTCTTTTAATTCTGGTAATGAAGCTTATGTGTAGGAGAAGCACATTGCACTCTGTGTGTGTGTGTGTGTGTGTGTGTGCGCGTGTGCGCGCGCGCGCGCGCGTGCGCGCGTGTGCGCGTGTGTTCATCTGTGCAAAAACAATGCAGAGCTGAGAACGAATCCCAGAGCTTCTACATGCCAGGCCAAGGCTCTGCCACCTAGCCATATCCTCTGCCAGTACAAGTGGTAGTCCCAGCTGTAGTCCCAGCACTTGGGAGGCTGACACAGGAGAATTGTTGGGTTACAAACCAAGATGCATTCTCAGGACAGAAGCAAATGGCTGATTACTAATGGTTGAAGACCTCAGAGAGGCTTTTCCCTACTGGTGGATGACCACCTAGAACACGTGTGCCTGGTTTGTCTTCATGGTGTAGTGTCTCTGGTAGTAGCTGTCCCTGTCTGCTTTTACTGTGCATCCTGTACATGTCCCAGTAGCATCTTAGAGCATGTGTGGGAGCAACAGTGGCAGAACAGAGAAGCCACTTGGTGTCCCAAGCCTGTGGTCCTGATTGCTGAGACACAGCTGCCCCTGGCCATACACTGGCACTAGACAGGGCCTTTAGGAGAACAGTAGAGTGAGTTTGCACAGTGCAAGCTCAGCCTCAGGCTCAGTTCCTTGATTGCCCTCTGCCAGGAGAGGGAAACCTCTTGGGGTTGCAAAAGTGCAGGTGTGTGCATGTGCCCACATACGTGCCGGGCGGGGCATTTAGCCTGGCCTTGCTTGTGCTGCTACTTGTATTTTAAGCATGTCCCTCCCATCCATTGTTCTCTGTCTCTTCACTTTACCTGTCTTGGGGTCTGTCTTGTCTCCTCCCAAGGCTGCTGTTCCACTCCTGGGCCATGTCAGGGTCTTGGTCTTGTCCCCTGCCCCAGCTGCCCCATCCTTTGACGTTCCCCAAGCCCAGCTCCTCTGCCCACAGCTCCCTCTTCCATGGCCCTTCACTTATCTGCTTCCCTCTTCCGGCTTTCTCCTGCATCCAGATTTCCAGCTGTGTCTCTATTCCCCAAGACCATGGTCAGCCACTGTTATTTTTTCTTGAAACGGGGTTTTTCTGTGTAATATAGACTGTCTTCAGACCAGGTTGGCCTTGAACACAGGCCTTCCTGCCTCAGCTTCCTGAGTGCTGTAGCTGCAGGTAAGTTTTGCAGTAAATTAGCGTTGTGCCCATTGCTCACCTTCCAGTTACTCCTTGGCACAGGGAAGCTGGGCTTCATGTTCCCAAGCCACTGACATAATGTCTGACACTGGGCTCCTCCTCTCTGCTAGCTGGCTTCCGCTTTGCTCTGCCCAAGATACTTCATCGTGATTTGAGCACCATTTAGTGTGGTTGACCTCTGTCTGTTTGCTCTCTGGCTCTCTCTCGTGTGTTCTCTCTCTCTCTCTCTCTCTCTCTCTCTCTCTCTCTCTCTCCCATCCTCCCTTTTCTTGTTTTTTGTTTCAAAGCACAGGCTCTCTTTGTAGCTCTGGCTGTCCTGGAACTCGCTCTGTACATCAGGCTAGCCACAGACTCATAGAGATCTCCCTGCCTCTGCCTCCAAGTGCTAGGATTAAAGGCATGTGTGCGCAGCTGTGCCCTGCTCTGTTGCATTCTTGTCACTGTCATTCCTCAAGCATCTGGACAGCACTGAGAAAGCTCCCTAGCACTTCTTGAAAGTTGTCTCTGGTTTCCATAGCTTTCTCTCTTTTACTTTTCTTATCTCTACCTCTGGCTAATCTTGGGCCTGGGTCCTGAGTGTGTCCATTTGTTCTTTAACTCCCAGATGTTGCCCCAGCCACTGCTCACCTCTCTCATATTTACCCCTAAATACTGGAGGCCTTGAATTCAGAGCACTGGACACATCACTCTCCGTGCCCCCCTCCCCCATTGGGTGCGACTTGGGAAGTTCTTTGCTGCCCTGAGATGATCCTGTCACTGTGACCCCTTGCCTGTGCTTTATCTCCCTCCTGGAACCATCTGCCTTCCCTGGAGAGAATTCTGCTTCCTCCCCTGTACACCTGAGGCATCTCTCCCACCTCCCCCCGACTGCCTTTCCCAGATCTAAGTTCAATGCCTGGCTCCTCCCACAGCATCAGTGTGCAGTGCTGAGACTGATGGTTGGTTACTGACTGTCAGGTTTGTGTCTGTGGTTTGCGTCTTAGTCCCCAGGTATAGGACTACCACATGGAGAGTACCTGTCTGTGCGTTCTTTTTCTCAGGTGCACCCATATTAGTTTAGCCCCACCAAGCCTAGAAACCCTTTCTGAGGGAAAGCTATGTGCACTTGCTGGTGGCACTCATAGAGATTTACATGTCCCCACTCAGAGGGCCCGTCCAGGCCATGTTGATGCTTGATCCTTTGTGTGCTCCTGGCGTGCACGGGCCCTGCCACTCCAGCTTTGCGTTCTAGGGTGCTGGCCCAGGGAGAGATGGCAGTGGTGGGAGCTGGGCTGAGCTGAGAGGAAGTGGAGGGGCTGAGTCAGGCTGTCAGCCTGCAGGAAGCAGCTCCCTTCGCATATGATTTTTGTGGCTGGGAGCTACTAAGCATGAAGAGCTAGTGAGAAGGGAAGCTTGTGTTCTCAGCAGTTAGGTCATCTTGCCTACGTTATCTCTGCATTTTCATTTGTTTGGTATTTCCTGAGATCTTGATCTTGCCAGAAAGCACCCGGCAAAAGTTCTGGGCAGGTGAGGTGTTTATCTGTATTTGAAATCTTTGCTCTTTTCTTCAAGTGTTGTCCTTGTCCAGTCCTGAAAACTAGTCAGTGATTGTTGGCTCTGGACTTCCTCTCCCTGGGAGCTTACAAAGTGTGTGGTGTGGTGTGAGTGGAGAAGAGGGAAGGCCTAAAGCAGGAGTGACCTGAAGCTGTCAGCCTGCACTCAAGTGCAGAAGGTTGTTTGGGCTGCTTGAACCCCAGTGCATTTGACACAAGGGGATTCCTATGGAGGTGATTGAGTTTAAAACAAAGGCACTTGTGATCTTCTGCCCCTGGCATGAACAGAACTCCTGTGAGCATCCTGACATAGAGGAGAGCTGCTTAGTCAGAGAGCACCGAGTGACCAAACGTGTGGCCCAGGAGCAGGCGCTCTTCCCTGCCAGCACCCTGGACGTGTGAGCTGCTCTACTGCTCCTCAGCCTTGGGTCTCCTTTCTTTAGAGTAGCTGAGTGTGAAGGGAGCAGACCCTGTCCAATGCTGATGTGCCGGCCAGCAAGGCCAAGCCTCCAAATCCTCAGTGCTGTTTAAAGACAGCTTTGAAGCCCGGAAATGCCTTTCTAGGATTCAGGCTGAAGGGCAGAGGTGGAGGAGATGACAGGGTTGTCACAGGGCTGACATACAAGCTGGTGGGGTTTCCAGTCTGCTGGGCCGGGCTGGGCTGTAACTGAGCTCCTGGTGCCCCTACAGTCCTGCTCTTTGTACTGCTGTCTCCTTCCTGTGGCCTCTGCTGTGACCACTAGCAGTTGCAGACATGGGGGAATCTTAGGGCTGCTTCCCCATAAGAAGACAAGAATGTGATGTTAGCCATGGAGGTAGTAACCCAGATCTGTGGCATCTCCCTGAGTGTACCTTGGAATGCCTCACGGGCTGCAGGCTAGCCATAAGATGCTTGTGTGGCATTCTGGTCTGTCATGGCTTCTGTCTGCCTCTCTGTACTCTGGCAGTGGCCACTGAAGAGGACGGCAGAAGCAAGCATGGGCTTATAGCCACAGAGACAAGTAAACTGAAAGATGGATAATAAGCAACCTTCAGAAACAGGTTTCTAAATGTCCTTGAGCTAAGAGAGGCTTTAGTAGAAGCTGTCCTGGGTCTTGGTGTCATGGGATACCTGGCTTTAGTAGAAGCTGTCCTGGGTCTTGGTGTCATGGGATACCTGGCTTTTGAGTCTCCCTGCTTATTACCCGATGCACAACACCTTAAATCCTACTTGGATCAGTTCACAAAACAATGTTCAGACAAACTTTTTTTTTAGCTGGCACAGGGTCAGAATGGTAAGTATGCATTCGAGTCCAGACAGTTCTCGGCCACAGATATGTACGCCTCAGGAGCCCAGAGATTGGTTGGTGTTCTGGTTGTGTTTTCCTGTAGAAACAGTGCGGGGAGTGGAGGCTACTACGGTACACACCCTGCACACAGCCGTAATCTCTGCAGTGTACCTGAGGGTTTCTGTTACTGTCACGTAATTTCACTTGGCAATGGTTTTTATGAATGAGGATCACTGGAGTTGTGCCTGAGGGGTTTGTGACTGCAGACCCTTCTCAGGCTCCTAAGCCACTGGAGGCGACCTTCCTTCCTTCCTTCCTTCCTTCCTTCCTTCCTTCCTTCCTCTCTCC